ATATAACAGATATCTCAACAAGCAAACAGTGACAAATCCGCAAAATAGAAAAGCGCTGCTTATCGAGATCAGAATGCGAAATGTTCAGATGAACGGACGTCGCTTATCAAATTTCATCACACCTATTTTACTCAATAAAAAGATACAGCTGAAGAAGAAAAAACGAAACGATATATCGAAAGCTTCAGCTACGAAATGAGAAACATGGACGAATCGTCGACGTCGATAGCAAACCTTATCCGAAAAGCAAACACCGATGTTGGGATTTGCACAACAAGCTTTCGCTGTTATCACCTGATTTCGTCTTGAGTCGAAAACAAACGAACGAATGGTCTAATACTCTGGTAACTGGTGAACAGAGGGGAGACGGTAGCTGGTGGACCTGGACGACTGGTCGCAAGAGGCAGTTGGAAAACAAATTGTCTCAAAACACTAAAGCACTAATTCGAACTAGACAGCATGTTCTGAAACCGGGTGATATTTTCGCTCATATTAATGTTCATATTACCATCTCTTTTCTACAGCATCTGCATGGCTTGCTGTACCATTTATCAGTAGAGAGTCGTACTGTAGTAGTTGACCTGACTTCACTTAACTTGACCTTGTAGATATCGCAAGGGTTACAACATCCTCGCACTTACTGTCATCCTTTAATGTGCCATATCACTGCAGGCGATTCCTAGTGTCAGACCGGCCTGCATTCTGTTTGGTAACTGCTGCCCAGCTCGGCTCGGTTGTAATCAGTTCGTTACTAATGAATTATGAACTATGAATATTTCCATCTACCTCTTAGCGTTCTTGAGCATGGGTTCCGCTGATACTACGAATCATGATGTTGATCCGACGTCTGTTATTCAGACATACTGCATGGCCAAAACGTCAGAGCTTCAGTTTCTTTATTTCACAGGCGGGAAACATGACAGCAATCCTTATTCGATATATGCCACTTGTACAATTTCTAGCATCCTCCAGTAACTTCGCATCTGTGATCCTATCAATTTGTCTGTAGCAGAATACTCCCCTCTGACCAGAGCGTTCGAACACGTCCATCGCGTTTGCCTCCTTGCCACTGTCGCATATGAGTAGTGTTTGAGTAAGTAGAAAATATAAACGGAATTTTATTTTCATACTAATAGCAGCTATTTAGAGGTATTGCTGAAGCACGATGCAGGCAATTCGGGTTTTCCTGATACTCATTTCCTGATAATCGATCGGAAATGGAACTTTGGTGACTTACTGCATATCTTCCTAGTAAATGCTCATGATCAACTAGACATCGTCAGAGGCATTCCGAGAAGCAATGAATCCATATTTCAGTGACTTCAGCATCATTCTATAATTGGAGCTGGCCAAATTTACTTCGAATAGCAGGCTAAAAACAAAGGTAAAACCACAAAGACAATGTTCTCCAGTTGGACTCAATCAAACTTGAGTACCCAGAGTAGAGTTGCTGTTCTCAGAACTGGTTAATAGAACAATTAATAACATGATTGGTCAGTACTAAATATAATATTTCGTTATATGTAACCTTTTTTGATACTGTCCAAATCTGCTGGGTATACGAACTGCCATGTGACAGAGGGAAATATGACGCGTGAGAAACAGGGAACACCGCCTTTCAAGTCAAGCTGGAGAACATGAATTATCATGGACGAATGCGAACGACATGCCGTGACAAAGTATCTGGGATGAAAACAAAGCCTTACCACCTTCAGAGTCAAGCAACAATGCGAAAAGTCCTCCGGAAATATGCAACACACAGCAGAGAAACCTTACGTCCCCAACTGGTCAGATTGCACATCCATCATCTGAGAAAGGTATTGGATGAACAGACGCATGAACGAGGCATTAATTACTCAATCCTACAACAATGTCAACTGGGACAAAGGATACGAACTTTTGAATAAGTCTAATCAATCTATTGATACTGAAAACTGTTTAATCCGTAGCATGGGATAAAAGCAGACCCTCTTGCTCCAAACATTACAACAGAACTATGTCGACCAAAGAACGGACTTCAGAAATCAACCGAGTCCACTTAGAAGAAGGCCGAAACGTCGGTAGCGGTTAACTGCTCTACTCGACAATCTATTTACAGTGCTTTATACCGTTTTCAGGATGATCACACAAACGAACGAACAAATGAAGTACTCAATCTTGGTATATGTTGCGTATTTCTCTATTTTTATCGAATATCAGAGTTATTAGACTGAAACTTCATTAACTCATTATCTTTTATTTTTATTATGCTTTCATTCAGCAAACCGGAATTAATTCCTCTGACGATTCTGTTGGCACTTAAAACTGCATATCAAAAAACCGATGACGAATAACTTACAAGTCTCATGTCCGAACTTAAGCGAAAGTTGACGTTTAAAAAATCGGGTTGACGCAAATTCTTTAATTATGCTTAAACATGTTTCGTCTTAATTATGCCAATATAGAAAAATCGATTCGACTAAGTATTTCAGAAGAGACGCAGCAGACAATCAACGAAAACATACGTCGAGAAAGCTGGAAAAACGAGAGATTATTAATTTTAAAATCACGCGAGTCCCTCGCACAATTCAGACCCATGCTTTAATTTCACTCTTCACTCTTTTCCCTGGCTTCAATCGTTCGCACCGGAACATTTGAAGGCCATTTGACGTGATTCTCGAGTTTATAACCTTCCCATAGCACGTATTCATTCAGGCAGGAAATACGACTTCAGATTCCACAATTAGCTCCGGAAACACAAAAGGAATAAAATAAAAGAATATATAAAACATACATATATGTCTTCTGGAACCAACTCTCATTTCTCTCTGGTGCAGGGATGGACGATTCTCCTTGCAACGTGTCCTGTCCACTGTTCAGGCAATGCCTCTCAGACTAAAGTATGAGCCTTTATTTAAGTTCGGGTGATCATAAAGATGGACCCTCGGAATTCTGGGCAAACCTTCAGGCTTCAAATGAAATCTCTACTGGTCCCTCAAACACATAAATAATCTAAGTTCACGATTACGCTAGTGACTTTCCTTTTAGGTACTTAATTGCATGCGTTCATCAATACTTATTCACCACACAACTTAGCCACACCAATCAAATACTATCTAACTTCAATCATATCGATTCTGTTATATACATAAAACATATTTATCTGCTACTTGACCCATCTAAGCAGTTTATTAATTATCTACCTACTTGTTTACATACGCACAACCGATACTAACTTTTTTGTTTTTTACTCATTACCTGCATTAATACCTCACAGTTAGTTACTTGAAACTTCACTCAATTATAGTCACCAATGAAATTCACACTTGGTTAATAATCAATTCACTTAATCACTTTTAAACTTCCTTACTTGCTTAGTCCGCAACAAACCGATTCACGACGTCACCATCTCACTGGCTTGCCCACCTAGCTGTTCAAACAGAAACATTCGAATGTAGGAAAACCTTTTTTGACACACGGGTTTTGTCTGGCAGCCTATGCAAAGGACAGAAAACAGACGCCGGATGGAATCGCTGGCCAGAAGTGTTTCCGAAAAAAATGCCTAGTTGAATATCCGATCAAGCAGGTACGAGGGTCACGCTTACA